CTCATAATCATACTGAGTTTTCTGTCCTGTGAATAGTTTATCCTCCATTGGTTTCCCTAAATCTGCATTGATTTCCTTAAATTTCTCAACAATGTTTGTGTTGCTTAGTGTAAAGGAATTGCACACCTGTGGTAAAATATTTCATAAAATTTACTACTTCTTTTACACTAGGAATTGAATCCATAAAGACTCTACCATTGAACTCCATTCCTAGCTCTTTTGTTTATTTATTTTTATTTTGAAGCTGGGTCTTGATAAATTTCTGAGATTGGCCTAAACTTGCCATCCTCCCGCGGAGTAGCTGGTATTACAGGCTCTGTCACCATGCCTGGCAATATTTCATACTTGTCAATGCTGCTGTATTGACATTATTTTAAAAATAAAACATCTAATTATGATATTTACAGTGAACTGTCAACATTCAAATTCTACCTCTGAGGGATCTTTGGTTGAAAGTGTACATTAGTCTAGGATGGGAAAGGTATTTGATGTTTAACATGTTTTACCAGTATTTCTACGTCTGTTTTTAGAAATGATTGGCAGTATATTTAAACTAGTGGGGAAAATGTTCTAGAGACTATTCTGTAGTTCATCTTCAGAAAAATTATACTAAAAGCACATAGCTTAATAACTTTCCTATTTACATAAATGGGTAGAAATGAATCTGTTGAAATATGGGTTTTAATTCTTTACCTCCCAATAAGCCCATCTTAATGAATTCCTGGTATCCTGGGTGGGGAGATAAGGTATGCATGTGGATGTATGTTTTTGATTCTATGTGTATATGTGTATGTCCCTGAAGCTTCCAGGAATGTTTGTTGTAAAGGATACTTAAGGTGGCAGATTGATTACATTGGACAGTTTCCATCATGGAAGTGGCAGTATTTTATTCTCACTGGAAAAGTTACTCTGAATGTGGATTTGCATTCCCATCACACCGTGTTTCTGCCACAACTACCATCTGTAGACTTACATAATGTTTTATCCACCATAATGATATTTCCTGCAATGTTTCTTCTGATCAAGGAACTCACTTCACAGCACATGAGGTGAAGAAATGGGCTGATGTTCATGGAATTCTCGTATCCTACCCTGTTTCTTACCATCTGGAAGCAGCTAGCTTAAATGGATGGCCTTTTGCAGACTTGATTGCAACACCAGTTAGGTGACTTTGAAGAGTTAGAGCAAACTACATTTTCATATAAGTTAATATAGAGCAATGCATCAAGACCTTTGAATTAAAATAGTTCATTTCTCTGGTACAATAATAGATGACCAGGCCAATATCATATTTTAAGCACTTCTTGTAGTACAACTTAGAAACCATAAAATTCAAACATTTTAAGGGTATTTTGAGTAAATTTACAGCATTGTAAAACCATCGCTATAATTGAGTTGTTTGTTTCCATCCTCCCCAAAGTCCCACCATATTTGAATATATTTAATACCTGCATACACACAATTGAATATAGTTAATCCCTGAATCCACACCTAGCTCTAGGAAATCATGGAAGTATTTTTTTTAAGAGAGGGAGAGAGAAGAGAGAGAGAGAGAGAATTTTTAATATTTATTTTTCAGTTTTCGGTGGACATACATCTTTATTTTTATGTGGTGCTGAGGATCAAACCCAGTGCCCTGCGCATGCCAGGCAAGAGTGTTACCGCTTGAGCCACATCCCCAGCCCCAGTATTTTCTATTCAGCATTTTCTCACTCTTCTTATTTCATATATATGCAGTCCTTCAATGTTTAGTTTTTTGTGTGTCTGTCTTCCATCACTGGAATATAATGTATTTATGGTTTCACCTATATTCCAGCATGCATCAGAATTCCATTCCTTCTAATGATTGAAAAAAATCTATTGTAGAGATATATCATATTTCATTTATCTGTTCATATTTTTATGGACATGAGTTGTAACATTTGGTAATTATGAATAATGATTCTTTATGCATACGTATGTTTTCATGTAAATATATGCTTTCATTTTTCTTAGGAATGTACCTTGGAGTCAAATGGCTAGACCATTTGATAATTTCACGTTTAATTATTTGAAGAAGTGTTGTACTATTTTCATGACCTTGACAGTGATGAGAAGTACAGTCTTCAGCTTGTCTTCTCATGATTAGATTAGTTTTAATAGGTATTAAGAAGGAATAGCAGTTGGAGTACTTTACCAGTCATATCATATTTGTGTTTACATGACATCAATATAGGATCACTGGTAACCTTAACCTTTAGTACGTAAGGTGGTATTTGTCAAATTTATCAAATGTCTGTTTTACATTTGCGTGATGTAAGTCTGGCCTGCCCTTAGGTGGTGTGAGATGGAATTAAATGCCACCTCATGGAGAGAGGGTATCTGTGTGTGTGTGTGTGTGTGTGTGTGTGTGTGTGTGTCTTTATATATGTAAAGATAATTTGTCTCCTCATACCCATTTTTTGTTATACACATTTACACATTCATTTCTGTAAGTATATGTTTATGTATGTTTATTAGATTGAGTTATTTTTCTGAATGGATAGATACCAAAAAAATCTTACATGATTTTCTGTGGTGCAGTCTAAAAGTATTTTGACTTAAAATCAGGGAATTACAAAAGAGTTTAGTATCACCACCATAACATTCTAACAGTATTATATTTTCTAGTTGTGGTGTATTAGACAATATTTGTAGATGATACATTTAATCATGGCAACTGTGAGACAACATGATGATTTCATTGAATATTTAGAAATCTTGTGAGAAATAAATAAAAACAGAGAATACAGAGATTACTAAAATGACCTTGATAAGGGAACATGGGATAGGAGCAAGGGAGGGAAAGAGGAAGTACTAAGGACTGAATTAGAACAAGGTATCATTATGCCAAAATGAACTATAACATTAAATATAACTAAAATGAACAAATAAAAAATCGACCTTAAAAATTATTGCTACCATTCAGTATACCTATTTGCAAAAGTTTCTTTCAGTGAAGCCCAAGTATGTGATTTAGGAGAATGTGTGAGCTGCATTTGAAAGCAAATTGTCGGTAGTTTAGCCTTCATGTTATCAACCTTTAACACTGTGTAAGCCTTTTCACAACTCTTAACTTTCAGATAATGAGAACATTGCATTATGATCTGACTGGTAAGGTACTCTAACTGCTATTCCTTCTTAAGACCCATTAGTACTAATCTAATCATGAGAGAGGGTATCTGTGAGAAGTAATCCTTTCCAATACATAAGAAAATAAACAATTTTTCAAGGAGGAAAATATTTTTCTTCATTTGAATGTGTTTTTCAATATTGTTCATCTATAAATGTTACATAAAGTTGATTATTATCTTTGGCAAAGTTTATTTCATTGGGGTGGTGGGGGAATAAGGCCCCATTAGAGTGGAATGATAACTGAATTGGGAGGGAGGTGCAGGGAGATATGAATTTGGTATTGAGAATTCCTTATATAACTTTGGTTGTAAAGAGGAGAATATATGTAAATAAGACTATAACTAGAGATGTAGAGAGGAGTCCATGACATCAAATTACACTCTACAATCATCATTTTTAAGAGACATGATCAGGTTGAAATATTAATGGAAATGAGTCACATCTTCTTAGACATAATATCTGAATTTACCACACTACTCTTTCCACACTTGTTTCCTTGGTCCATTCTGGAGAAACCTTAAACTTATCTAAATGGACAGTGTGGAGTTTGGCTTTATGCCTTTTATGTACTAAACAAAAGGATAGATGAATGCATGATGTGTCAAAAATGTGCTAGTAATTAATGGATTTTTATCACAAATAAGCAGGAAAGCAAGATTTACTTGATTATACTATGATGTGCATCATACAATCTGCACATGGACATCTAGGGTGCCAGTCTCTGCTTTTTTACTTAATAGCAAGATGACTCCAGCCAGGTTAATTAACCTCCTGGCTTCATTGCTGTTCCTGCTACAAAATAGCATAGAGATCAGGAGCTGGGGTTGTGGCTCAGTGGTAGAGTGCTCGCCTCTCACGTGCAAGACCCTGGGTTCGATCCTCAGCACCACATAAAAATAAGCAAGTGAAATAAGGGTTAAAAAATGATCTCCATTAAAAAAATAGTATAGAGATCAAATCCTCTAATTCTTAGGAATGTTGTAGGAATTACATGGAATACAAAAGTACCGATACTCAGGTACTCATAGCACTACAAGGTGAGTTTCCTGTACTTCTATGAGACGTTTAGGTTCCAACTAATGGCTCTACAATCATCCCTTCTCAACAAAATTAGCATCTGTCCATGTTTTCATGGCATTTCACTAGTGAATATGTTTCTAAATGTTTCTTGGGCATGTACGTTGATTGCTCTTTAATTTGTGCATATATCTATGATTTATTGTTAAATAATAAATTGCCCCAAAATTTCACCATTTGAATCAGCAAGTATATTATTAATAGACACCAGTTCTTTGGGTCTGAAATTATAGCATGAAAGCCAGGCAACCTTCTTGACACCCACTCTGTGATTAGGAAGCTCGTGCTTTGTATTCAAACACATTTATGAAGAGAAGATAACTATACCTCACTAGTAGGGTTGTCATGAGATTAAATCCAGACACTGAAGAACTTGAGATATACCCCTCTTAAGAATCTGCTTCATAAACAGTAGCTGTCCTTCCTCCTTGGAGCAGGGAAATCCTTGGCAACTTGACCTGTCCCCTCAGCCTGGTCCCCTTCACCAGAATACACATCAAAATTACCTTGATGAGTTTTTCTAAACCCTCATCAGAACTCCTTTGTCAGTGGGAATAGGATTTCTGATCCAGAAAGCTATTCAAGTTATTAAGTTTTAATAATATGGGCCTCAGAAACAGATACACCTATTTGGTACCAAGAATGTAGGTAAATGCCTGTTTCCTCTATTCCACCAACCAGCTTTTGTCTATTTGCAGATATTTTATTTTGTCTTATTCTACTAGTAGATTTTATCTTTATTTCTCATTTGATCATTTTATTTTTCTCAGACTTGCCCCAGAGGAGTGTCATCTCAGATGATCCTTAAACTTACACATTCTGAGGCCACCACATAGTGTCGTCAGATATGGCAAGCAAAAATACAGGATGCTCAGGTGAGTTTGAATTTAAAAAAAAACATAAAATTTTATTGCTTGCCAAATAATTATACTAAAATGATTTGTTTATGTGGAATCGATTTCTTTTTTCCTCATTTTTATTGGCACATTATAGTTGTACATATTGATGTGATTTGTTGTTATTTATTTGTACATGCACACAATATAACAATATAATTTGGCCAATATAACTCCCCAGCACTTCTCCCCTCCCTGCCTCCCACCCCTTGGTCCCTTTCTGCTACTGATCTCCCTTTGATTTTTAGAAGATCCTTTGTTTTCCTTTTTTCTCTCTCTAGCTTCTGCATATGAGAAGACACATATGACCTTTAACCTTCTGAGTTTGACTTATTTTATTTAACATGGTAGTCTCTAGTTCAATCCATTTTCCTGCAAATGTCATATAATTTCATTTTTATTTATGGTTGAATAAAACTCCATTTTGTATATACATAGGACAATTTCTTTATCCAATCATCCATTGATGGACACTTAGGCTGGTTCCATAATTTGGCTATTGTGAATTGTGCTGCTATAAACATAGGTATGCATGTATCATTGTAGTAAGTTGCCTTTAATTTAGGTTAAATACTGAGAAGTGGTATAGCTGGGTCATATGGTGGTTCCATGCCTAGTCTTTTGAGGAGCCTCTATACTGATTTCCATAGCAGTTGTACTAATTCACACTCCCACCAACATTGTAAAAGAGTTCCTTTTTCTCTGCATCCTCTCCAGCATTTATTATTATTTGTATTCTTGATGACTGCCATTCTGACTGGTGTGAGATGAAATCTCATTGTAGTTTTAATTTGAATTTCTCTAATTGCTAATGATATTGAACATTTTTTAAATGTATTTGTTGGCCATTTGTATTTCTTCTTTTGAGAATTGTCTGTTTAGTTCATTTACCCATTTATTAATTCGGTTATTTGATTTGATTTTTTTTGGTGTAAAGCTATTTGAGCTCTTAATATATTCTAGATATGGATTCTCTGTCAGAAGAGCAGCTGGCAAAGACTTTTTCCCATTCTGTGGGTTATCTCTTCATATTCCTAATTGTATCCTCTACCGTGCAGAAGCTATTTAATTGGATGCTGTCCCATTCATTAATTTTTGGTTTTAGGAGTCCTATTGAGAAAGGCATTGCCTGTACCTAAAAGCTGGAGTGTTGCAACTATGTTTTCTTCTAGGAGTTGCATAGTTTCTGGTCTAATACTAAGATCTTTGGTTCATTTTGAGTTGATTTGTGTGCAGGGTGAGAGATGAAGGTCTAGTTTCATTCTTTTACATATGGATAACCAGTTCTCCCAGTACCATTTGTTAAAAAAGGCTGTCTTTTCTCCAATATATGTTTTTGGCACCTTTGTCAAGGATCAGATAACTGTATCTGTATGTATTTGTCTGTGTCTTCTGTTTTGTGTGTCTGTTTTTATGCAGTACTATTCAGTTTTTGTTATAAGAGCTCTATATTATAATTTCAAGTTAGATATTGGGATGCCTCCAATGTTGATTTTTTGGCTTAAATTTGCTTTGGCTATTCTGGGACTTTTCTTTTTCCAAATGAATTTTAGGACTAGTTCTGTGAAGAATTTGTAATTCATTTCTAATAGGTATTGTATTTTATCTGGCAGTTCTACACCTGGGGAAATATATAGGGTAAAACCAAGTACTCCAGTCAACAGACCAGGCTGAACTCCCAGGAAATGCTAGTACCACTCATCATTAATGGAGGTGAGCTTTTTTTGGATGTTCCAGAAGAATGGAGCCTCCGGATGACAGAAGTAACACCACCAGGTGGAGAGGTAGCCTTAAATTACAGATAGCACATAGAGAAAATAAATGTCCAGTGATCCATGTTGATACACAGAATCCATAAAGATAATAAGTGGCTACTGTTTGGGGGGTTTTCAGCAAAAGTGGAAATCAGAAATCTGTGGTGTAGGTGTATTCTTCCGCTTTTTTGTTCTGTTCTCATTGAATAATATAGGGATTCTTTTATCTGAAGCCTTGGTAAGACTTTGTTATAATTTTGGCTAGAACCTTTATATCGTTTTATATGTGGATATCAGATTCTGGACATTTCCTAAATTCCTTCTTGAAGGGATTTCCAAAGGAATTTTATTTTAAAAATTATATATATATATATATATATATATATGTATTAGTTGTTGATGTACCTTTATTTTATTTATATGCAGTGCTGAGAATTGAACCCAGTGCCTCACACATACTAAACAAGTACTCTACCACTGAGCCACAACCCCAGTCCCCAAAGGAATTTTCTTGATAAACAATTTTCACACTACTCCTGGAACTTAGAACCTAAATCTAACCCTTTTTCATAAAGATGAGCACCCACTGCAGTTGCGAAAGTTGAGGAATTGAGATTCTCACATTACATATGGTTCCATTTGCCACATGGAAAGCAATATATGTACAAGTTTCTAGGAGAGTATACAGTCAGAAAAAGAGGTATCTATTCATTTTGAGAATTATCTTTCAGAGAAGGTTTCCTGAGACCCTGACTCCTGATACAGGGATAGCCTTGTAAGGAAGTTATTATCTTCAGGATTCCTTGAGCACAGGTAGACAGGACTTTCAGATAATTGATAGGATGTGCGTTGCAGTTCTTGACTTTTCTGATTGTCCCAATATAACACTATTGGATGGAGAAGTCTGTCAATTTCTGAAGTTCATTAAGAAGTGTCTTGCACTTGAAAAAAAAAAAGGAAAGTGTCTTGCATACATTATGTAAGCTACTTTCTCCAGTATCACCTTTATATAGGGATTAGAGTGAATGCATTGTTTTCTTCATTGTTTTGTCATATTTCTTCGTTTATTTAGAGCTCAGACTTGGCATGGGGATGCTACTTCAGGCCCCCCTTAATGTTCCAGCTTTTCTGGAGCAGACTATAAGGAATAGGTGGGGAGAAAAACTATGGCCCCAGTGTAAGACCCACCCTTGAGGGGCAGGGCAGAACAAGAATTTAAAGGGTGAGGATCTGAGCTGTGTGAGTCTTTGTTCTTCCAGACTCAGTAATTGGGTAAGTGATTCTGGTTATAGAGGAGTAAATATTTACAGAGGGTCTAGAACCATTTTTTTTCTGGATGCCCTAACACACAGAAGAAAATATCAGGAGTAGGGGATAAGAATTCTCCAGGATATCCTAATATCCAGGTGAATTTAATTGAGTAAGTTTCAGCCTAATAAATAAGTATACTTTGGTAGCTCCACCTTCCTGAAATAACTGAGGTTACTTAAATAACTTTTTTAGTGCTTCTAAATCATTCACTCTCCTGATTATAGACAGTGTCTCAATTTTATGTCACAGGTGGCTAATTGATTGGCATGTTGTTAGTTTTATACAATCACCAGCAGAAGGATAGCTCATCTCCCAAAGCCCTAGGACACCTCCCTGAGTTTTTATAATTATAACACTCCTCTAACATAAGTTTTAAAGTAAATGAGGTTCTGGACAACAGAGACATAGCTTGTTCCAACAATGTGAGCAGAGTTTTATTGCCCATGCCTCAATCTGCTTGCCTTATTCAGTGTGTTTCCTTGGGTGGTAGTCTGAAGTGTGCAGTTGTTTTGTTTTCAAGAAAAGTTAAGGAGACAGAGGGATGTGTGGAACCTTTTCCAGTGTGTGTGTGTAGAGTAGAGATCAGGCCAGTGCTTCATTGTTGCCATAGAAACCTGATGTCATTATGGCAACAGTGATGACATTCACAGGAGACCACCTGATTGAGGGCAGGACCAGCTTCCAGACATTTGGACTCACCTAAGGGTGTGGGTGCCCTGTGGTGGATGCTGAGCCTCTCTGGGCTATGGGGAGATGAAGGGATCCCAGACCCAAGTTGTCCCATTTCTGCTCTGGGACTTGGTGCCCCGCTGACCCAACAGAGAGAGAGATGTGGGACCCTTTTGGCCCCCAGCAGTGGTATGTCCTGTATGGTTATTGAGGGATCCTAAATACTGGTATGAATTTAGGCCTCTTTTTATTCCTTTTTATATTTGTTGGTAGAGGAAGAGAGTTGAGTAAAAGTTCCTGGTGTGAAGCCCATTGTACCTTCTGGTTGTTGGGATCACTTCCCAGTTGTACCAGTGCCTTTTGTCACTGACCAAGTGCTTAGCATGGTGTCAGCCACACAGTTACTCTGATGGGGCACTGTGATTTCTGGGTTCTCTTTCTTCCTGGGAAGCTCCTGGTTAGGCTTATATCAAGTGTCTGAAGGAGGTGGTTTCTGAGGATCTGAGCCATGATGGCTGCTGAAACTTATCCTCCACATCTGAATGCTGCAGTGCTCAGGAGACCCCAGCGCTTCCATCTCTGGTGCGATATGAGCCCTGCTTTATGTGAGTTCATAGAGTTAAACATAATCATGTTATTGAATAATGCCTACAAGGTTCACAAAATCATATAAAAGTAGACAAGCTCTATCAACTCCGTCATTTGGAGAAGAAAATGGAGTTTTGTACCGTTGGCAACTTATATGCTTTGTTGTAGCCCTTGAAGCTCATCCTAGAGATGGCTTCTTAGTCTAAAAGCAGTGAATCCTGCAGCTTGTGGTAGGAACTTGATATTTAACAGGTATGTTTAATAAATTCTATATATTGTTTCTGATTATATAAATCAAAATCAGTGATTGTTATCAAAATCTTCAGATGGGTGTTGAAATATCCAGTTTGTTAGAAGACACTGTGAAATTCTAACATGAAATCTTTATTGGTAAAACTTCATAGCCACGTTTTATCTGTTCTTAAATTTTTGTAGAAACCAACAGTTATCCATGGATTACTTTAAAATATCATTAGTTTTTATTATTTTCAAAAATCATAATTATGCTAAATTTATTCTATTGTTATTCAGGGCCATGTTCTCTAAAATAACCAGATATACTGAAATATCAGTAAGATTATTTTCCCAGGTTGTAATGTTTTAGTATTGTACTTCAGAAAGAAATGTGCATCACCTTTCCCTAAATATTTATATCCCTATTGGAGATGATTTTTCTTATTTTGGTCATGTGTTTTGTGAATTTCACCAAATCTCCAAAAAAATACAACTATATTTCAAATGCTTTATTGAGGTATTATTTGTGTGTAATTTACTTTTCATATTTAAAGTCTTTAGTAAGTTTGTATGCACCACTGAAATTACTGTCAAGGATATCACCCTAAAAAATATTTTCCTGCCCCTTTGCCATCCTCATAGCCACGTATCTCCCTCCCGCTTCCCTGGCTCTCCCACACTGCCCCCCATTTTCAAGTAACCACTGTTCTCTCACTGTAGATTATTTTGCATTTCTTATAGTTTTATGTAAACAGACTCATATTTTTCTTTTTGTCCAGCTTTCTACATTTAGCCTGTTAATTTTAGATTTATCCATTGTGTTGCATGATTGACTATTTCCATTTTAACTGCTATGCAGTATCCCATTATATGGATATACCATGATTTGGTTTTATCCATCCACTTTCTTATGGATAATCGGTTTTCAGTGTGTGTAAATGTGTGTGTGTGTGTGTGTGTGTGTGTATACACACACACACACACACACACACACATATACATACTTTGATTCACTAAATACTAGATGTGCAATGGCTAGAGCATATGGTAGACATAAGATTAATATTGTCAGAAACTGCCAAAATCTTGTCCAAAATGATTCTACCATTTTTCATTTCCATGAACAGTATATGAGAGTTCTATTCTCCCCAATTTTGTCAACACATAGCATGATCAGGCTTCTTAACTTTAGCCATTTTCATGGGAGTACAGAGGTATCTCATTGTTGTTTTAATTTACATTTCTATAACAACTAATGATGTTGAACATCTTTTTATATGATTGCTTATTATGTGTGTGTGTGTGTATATATATATATATATATATATATATATATATACATATATATATATATTCTTTGGTGAAGTGCCTGTTCAAATTCTTTTCCCATTTATTTATTGGTGTCTCTTTTTTTACATTTTAACTGATATTTAAATGATTTAATATTTCCTGGATATAAGTCACAATTCAGATAATATGATTTTCAATGCTTTATTTATTTATTTATTTATTTTTGATACTGGGGATTGAACCCAGACATGGTCTACCTTTGAAGTATGTCCCCAGCCATTTTTTTCTTTGCTGTATGTATGATTTTATTATTATTATTAAAAACAAGAATATAAAATGTTTATACCAGTGCCATTTGTCACTGACCCAGTGCTTAGCATGGTGCCAGCCACACAGTTACTCTGATGGGGCACAGTGATTTCTGGGTTCTCTTTCTCCCTGGCAAGCCCCTGGTTGGGCTTATATAAAGTGTTGATAATAAACACTTGTTATGTATTTGCACACCAAACAATCAAGGATTACAAGATTTAAATGAAAACATGTCATTATTTTCTTTCTAAATTCAGAATATCATCTGTAAGCTCTAAACTGGATTCTTTTTTTTCTTTTTTAAATTCTAATTTATTATATATGATAGCAGAATGCATTACAATTCATATTACCAGTTATTTTTTGAAAGTATTTTGAAATAGGGTCTCACTAAGTGGCTTAGGCTGGCCTTAAACTTGCAGTCGTCCTGCCTCAGCCTCCCAAATTGCTGGGATTACAAGTGTGCACTACTGTGCCCAGCTTTTTTTGCAATCATTGGCTTATCTTTTCATTATCTCAACCATGTTTATGGAAGAGCAGAGCTTTTTAATTTTGAGG